AGAATAGTCGGCAAGGAGGGAAGTGATGAAGTCAGTAGTCAAGAGCTAGATTCATCTCTTAGCTTGCGTGGCTACTCACTGGTTGTAGGAGAAGAGGGGTCTTTTGAGCCAAGCAGTCTTCCGAGGCCTCGATCACAACAACCACAGACAGGACATACACCTACCAGTTCAACTTCAAGCGCGTCTGCTTTGGATCAGTCGCAGCGCTATGCGCCAACTGCGACATCACATCTTGGGCCACCTGGACTGCAAGAGCAAGACTCAAAGGGGTACACTTCCGTGACTGACGCGAAGTTAGTGCAGGGAGGTTCATCATCTCCCAAAGCTTATGAGAGCTTCGTCGTCGCGACCCTCTTAACGATCCAGTCAGCCTTCTGCCGCCACACAGATTCTATTCCTCTAAACTACCGAACCGTATTACTCTCACAGGATATTCTAGAAAATGATGGGTCTTTCGATGTGGTCACAGAAAAAACTCCTACAATCGGTACATTTAGCGCCTACCTAACAACCACAGGTGTCCTTGTAGTTTGCATGGGCATCTCAATATGTCGAGGTTTATTGTCCTATGGCGACATGCTCAACCAAGCTTCGGACATACCTGGACAGCAAATTCTTGCGGCTCCATTTGGTGTGATTGCCAGCAACCAGCCCGCTGCCCAGTTTGATGGTGGTACAGCGAGTATGGCTCAAACACCAAACACACAAGCATTGAGTCTTCGAGGAGCTCCAGATATTCACAATTCGCTTTGGAAGCAAGCATGCCTGAAATTTTTGCAACTCCGAGGTGTTGCCCAATCAAAATTAACAGATTGTTTCTGGATAAATTTACTCATATCCAAACCCAAACTTCAAGATGCAAAGAGCGATGTTAAGAGGTCGCCAATGCCTAATTCTACCGTCACGATTCCTTGGCCGAGCCCGCTGTGCTTTAGGAAGCGCCCTGTTGAGGTGTCATCCACAAGTCGAGTGGGTGAGACAATACTTCGGGGTCATGAAGAAAGCCACGACCCTTTAGGTAATGCACAGTCTTGGTTTAGTTCCACACCTGAGCGAGACGAGAAGATATCCAAAAGAAAAGCAGAACGGGTGGCAACATCAAGTGAGGGCTTCGGTGGCGATTCTAGACCTACAAGGCTAAATGGGCAGTCTCCTCTAACATTGAGACGGCCGAGTACAGCCGCAGCCGGCTCAATGTATCCTACTCCGCCTGACGCCTTACAAAATGCAAATGGAGTAACGCCCTCTCTTGATGGTACGCTGTCAAGCCCGGGAAATCCTCTGTCTGCCGCGGCTGTGCCAGAAGTCGATAACAATGGGTCAGTCTCCATGGCGATGGGGGACTCTTTCGAGCCTGTACGAGATTTCTCAGAGTCTAAAAGGCAAAGGAGCGACAGCAATCTTCTTGGCGAAGCTGACCACATGTTTGGCGACATGGGCCAAGATATGTTTGGTGATAACGACATCACAGAAGCTGACTTCAACTTTTTTGATGAGGAGCCCGAGGACATTGATCTCGAAGCTGCGTTGGATGAGATGGGCGATGCAACCACGGCCGCAATTATTGGTGCAGAGGAGCATACAGCTGATGAAGAAATATCGAATTCCAGGGAGCCTATAAAGGAAGAACCAGAGACCGAGAAGGATGCTGGTGGATTCACGAAACCCGAGCTGCGCCACGCCATCAGCGTACAAAACGATCATGCGATGCCGCGAGGAAGAGAAAGTCGGCCCGTTTCCATGAAACGAGAGTCTAGCCCATTCGACCCTCATACTGTTTTCAAACGAGTTTGTGCATCATTGGCGGCAACTGAAAAGGACGGCACTATTGCCACAGACACCAATCGCATGACCAAAATATTTGAAAAGATGGACTTTGACCCAACACTTCCTATGATCAACAAGAAATATGAACAAGGTGGCCAATTTGACTACAGCATGAGCACAGCCGTTGGAAATTCAAGGCTGGACCATGGCGTGTTGCCGGAAACCGATTACTTAAAGCGCCATGGTAAGCTACACAGAGGATCGCAAGAGCACAAATTATATACGAAGTCGCTTATGGGGCCCCTTTCCGGCCTTGAGCGGCCGATCTCTGGCCGTAGCCCTACAAAATTGGACACACAGATGTCGGATGATGAACAAAGCAGCACTGAGTCTGACCAAGACGACTCTAGTTATACGAGTGACGAGCCGACGTCCCCACCGAAGTCTAGTGTAAAGCAGGCGCCAGTGGAAGAAGATGCTGTTTCACAGGTGACCTCTTTAAAGGAACAAGATGTGATTGAGGAACCGGACCATCAACTTGCGATTGAGCTCCCTCGTCTATCCAAGCCTGAAACACCAGAGTTGCCTCTTTCGATGCTTTTTTCAGATCCTGAGCCCCTTGCCCTGGAGCTCTCTCTTGGTGATGAGGATCTAATACAGGCAGCCCAAATATTGACCGAACAGGCCGCCACAGGCTCCTTGGATCTCTGCAATACCGACCGTCCCGCCAACACCTCGATAATAAGTCAAGGCCGAGCAACTTTACTTAGTGACTCCAGGACAGCACTTCAGCAACTTCGAGAGGCTCTCTCTGTCTTTCTACGGGGCGTGGAGCCTGTTCGCCTCAAGGCATTTTTAGATATTCAAGATGTACTCTTACAAGGTCAACCCAGGATGCAACCACGTCCCATACCTGGGAGAGACGCGAATGCCGAGCAGATCCGCCCCAGCAATCTTTATCAGATTCCGGGACCACATTTGGAGGTTCGCAGGTCAGATGCAAAACTCTCAGTCCTGCCCTCAGCTGTTGCATTTTGGGAAAGCTTAGGGCTGGCGCCATCTTCAGGCAGCAAGGACATAACCGCAGTCTGCGTTTTTCCGGGATGGAAGGGGATGGCCGATAATGTCAAAACATTTTTGGGGCGGATCAAGAGTGTTTACGAAGTTCTGAGACTCGGATCTTTCGAGAACATGGCCCTAGCGTCAGACATGGATTCTGGCGTTCTCCCGTACGAAATGGACCGTATTTCAACTTCTCCCGATGCCACATTGACGGGGCACGGCTCAGCTTTGATAGGTACCATGGAGACGTTGCGAGCTTCACTTTCCAACTTGACTGTTTCGGACACGAACGTTGTTGTTTATTTCGTCTATTCCCCAAATAACCCTGGCACCATAGTCGAGGCCTGTGCAGCATTTCAGCGTTTCTTTGATTCATATCAGAAGGACTTGGCTGCAAAAAAGGAAACTGCGACAAATGAGCTCGTTCTACAGCTCGTCTCGTCTGACTTGCTATCTTCGCCAACTTCAGTGGTGGTCACTCCCTCTGTCGATCTCGTGAGGCTCTGCATGGAGACGTATGACCGGTGTACCCTCTTTGGCGGACCAATGCCTGCCCCAGCCATTCGGCTAGAACAGCCTCTTCCACGAATCATTGACTTCAAGCTTAACACACAACCTTCCATGTCTCTCATCAGAGAAAACTCGTGTATTCACGTTGCTTATGCTCAGACTGTGGATGGGCGTTGGGTGACGACTGCTTGGACAGACGATCGCGGTAACCAGCAAGCCACTGCCTCGTACTGTTTGGGACGTAAAGGCAGACCACTGTCCACGTCCATGAGTGAGGTAGCCTATGAGATCTGGCAATCTACTCTGGACCTAATCTCGGCATGGACAGTGCACTGGCGAGTTATAATCACGAAGTGCGGGCCAATGGATCAACAAGAAATCGATTCGTGGGTCAATTTGGCCCACACAGAAACCAGGCTCCAAGTGACAATGATCCTGATGACGGTTGATACAGATCCGTGGCTACAGCTGGTTCCTCCTGTAGTCAAGCTACCACATGCGTCGGTGCCTTTCTACACGACGCCAGTTTCGACGCCGCAGGCGAACATCGTATCGCCAGAGCAAAGTGCCACTCCAGCAACTCCAGCGAATGTGACTGCTGCAACCCCCGGGGGAGGAGAAGCGGGAGCGGACACCGAAACTGATGCGATTCTTGCCGATGTCACAGACCAGACTTGGGGGGCCATTGTTGGCCACCGACTGAATAATTCCTTGGGCGTAACGGACTTGTATCCAGCGCTGGTCAGCGGCTTCCTGATTAAGAGGACAGGCGCGCGAGTTGAAGACGTGCCGATAGCCATGGAAGTTAATCTCATACACACGGAAGCCTTCCCGAGGTCATACGAACCCCTTTTGAGGGAAATGCTCAGCTACTTTAGAGGGCTTGCGACCCTATCGAGAGCTAGGGGGATGGTGTCAAGAGAAACGGATGTTCGTCCATGGCATATTGCCGCAGCTGAAAAGGCTGCCCGGGCCATGTATCTTCTCATGTGATTTTGTAGCCCAAGTCGGGCATTTGATATTATTCAAGCAAAGAGTCACGACATGTAGATGAACGAGCATTGGGGGGGGGGGGGGGGGGGGTTGTTTTATTGGCGAATTGCATGGCGTTTTGAGGGCTTGCACAAGACATTTTTTTGTATGAGTCAGTTTCGAGGGAGCAGGGGGGAGAATTCACGGATACGATGTGAATGTACAAAAAATACTTTAAGCTAGGGCATGATGATACCCGAAGCCTGTTGTGTTTGTAGAAACTGTGATGTCGGTTGATGAATACATACGTTGGCTCAGGCTGCGGTGGTCCATGAGATTGACAGTCGACATCTCAATGTTGGCGGCCGAGTCTCCCACAATGACGCATCGGAACCAGGATCATCGAATTGACTCAACCATGCAACGCCAATGAATGCTAAGCTATGCCGCAGATGAGTCAACCTTGCAACTGAACCATGTCGTCGTCGGTGTCTTGCATCAGCCCCGATCTGGTGTGTGGCAAAGTCTCGGCAAGGGTAAATATGGAGCACCAGTCGAAGTTGAACCTCGCTGAGCAAGACAGGACTCGAAACGGCAGACAGCTAAACCACCGGAATCTTCAAACCAAACGACTTTGGCTTTATGGGGAAAGCATTCACTACCCTCTCTACACGCATGTATCCCATACAATGGAACCTGCGTCCCTGACAAGTCTCCCAGATGACTTGCTGCTCGACATTGTCGAATACCTCGACACGGCCCGAGACACATCACATCTCGGGCGAGTCGCCAAACACACGCACCGTCTCGTCCAACAGGCAGGATGGAAAACGTTTGTCAAGACGAGATTCCCGTCCTTGAGGGTGCCACACGGCAACGGGTGCTCATGGAGCGACGCTGCCGATACAATTTCCTACCTCGACCGATGCTGGGACAAGCGCGCCATCCAGCTCAGCCTATTCAGAACCCAGCCACGGCCGCGGACAAAGGACGCACCTCGACAGCCGAGGCAGGCGATTGACTTTCATGGCATTGTTGATGCTCATTACATGCCGTCCTTGGATGAGGAGGTTGTTGCCTGGGGGGCCGGTGAGGATCTCCATGTGCGATGGGGCCGCGATGCCACGCAGACGTGGAAGAGCGTCCTGGGGGCGAGCATGAGCACGAAATACGCCCCCGGCACGGGCGACGCCACGTGCTTGAGCATCATTGAGAGGCGTGCCGGGCTTCCAGAGGTTGTGGTCGGGCGAGCGAACGGGGACGTCCAGGTTCTCTCGGCCGCGAACAACAAGTCCTTTGGCCAGCCGACCCAGACGGTCATCAAGCTGGACGGGCGGCAAGACGCGCACCAACAGACGCCGTTTAGCATTTCCCCGGGCCGCCTGGCCGTCTCCTGCACGGAATGGCAGCCCGACACAGACATGCTGGCGACCTGCCGAAGCTCGCATCTTCACCTGTACAACATCCCCCCTGAAAGGGACGCGGACCCCAAACCACTTGCCTACCATGACTTGTCCAAAGACCGGCCCGGCAACGAGGAGTCTCTGATTCGAGACATCAAGTTTCTGGGAAGGACCAGCATCGCCGTGGCCCTGGGGGCAAGCTCGCAGCCCATTCAGTACGGCACCATCCGCCCTACGGGGGTGGACTTTGTGCCGGCGTCACGCAACCCCGACGCATGCGACAGCCTAGACGGCAGGCTTGAGCTCACGGCACCCGGGGAGGTGACGAGCGTGTGGTCGATACAGGCGGTCGGGCACAGGGCAAACAGCAACCTCCTCCTGAGTTCCTGGCACGACGGGTCCTTCCGGCTGATGGATGTCCGGACGCCCTCGCCCTACGACGCCATATACAGGGACAATTTCCAGCCATACCACGCCGGCGGGCCCCTGCTCGTCTACGGAACCGAGAGGTTTGTCTCCGGGAACAACACCGCCCCGACACTGAGGCTCTTCGACTTCCGCTTCCCCAAGCCGTACTTTCATTCCACGGCCCTGCCGTGTTCGCCGCGCGAGCCACGGCCCAGAGTCGCGTGCTCGTCCGGAAAGCCGCTCGACGACAGGACTGCGGTTTGGAGGTGCGAGCCTGGGAGTAGTCGCCGGTGCAACTGGCACGCGGCCATGGAGTCGCCCTGCTTCAGGCAAGACACCACCCTCTGGCTGGGGCACCGCGGCATGGACCGTGTCTTCTCGCTGGCAAAGGCGTCGGATACATCAGACAAGTTCTACCTGGGGCTGCGGGGAGCCATTGCGGAGGCGCAGCTGGTTTTGGAGCAGGATGTCCCTACTCGCCGGCAGAGTGTGCCTCGCTGTCCCGCCGGCTGGCGAGTGTCTGCGGCGCCAAACGCAGCCATGGCAGACACAGGCATCAGCTTGTCCACGAGCAGTGTGCACGGGGGGGCTCATGGGGATTTACACAACGGCATGCCTGAGATGCTGTACCACTATGATGGGTCGCAAAGGAAACAGGGCCTTCGTGAATTACTAGAACCCCCGGAAGGAACGCGGTTTGACACTGCTTGGCGACAGCAGGTGGCGGCTAGGCATAGAGGACACTGATCAAGGGAGTTGTAGAAGCATCTCATATTGGAATGGGCGAATTTGGGCCTTTTTTTTATGACACGGGGCGTTTGGGCTTAGATTATACGCTGAACATTGCGGCACAGGTGGCAGAGTGAGGTAGAAAGGCGGTATAAAGTAAAAGACACGGTTCAAATCAAAAGTGTATTGGTGTATTGTATATAGAGACGGCATTTCGTTAAACCGCATGTAAAGGAAATCTTACAACTTGGACTCGGGGACAATAAGGGCTGATCTCTCCTTGAAGGCTTGCTCAGCTTCCTTCTCAATACGCTTCACCAGCACATCACACGTGGGGACATCGTGAATGAGACCCATGACAGGGCCGGTGGTCCAGACCTATCATCACCGCAAGTTAGCACACAAAACGAACTCCCATGACACACATGTGAATGGAACTGGGTTTGTCCCAGCGGGAGGGTAAAACATACACCGTGCTCTGGGTCACCATTGACAAACACCTCCTTTCCTCGTTTGCCGCTAACCAGAGGCGCGATTTCGCTAAACTCGCCAGATTGGCTCTCCTTTTCAATCTTGAGCGCGTCGAGGGCAACCTTGTTCTTGAACAGGCGGCTGGTGTTGCGCCACCTTCTCAGCAGCAGAGTGGTGTCGTGCTCATCGCTCTTGACAATGGCCTCTTTGATGTTCTGGTGCACCGGTGCCTCGACAGTAGCCATGAACCGTGTGCCCATGTTGATACCCGACGCACCAAGCAGCAGGGCAGCGGCCAGGCCGTGGCCATCGGCAAAACCGCCACTAGCAATGAAGGGGACCTTGAGGGTCTGGCGGGCTCTGCCGAGCAGAATGAAGTTGGTGATGTCGCTCTCGCCAACGTGGCCGGCACACTCGAAGCCGTCAATGGACAGGAAGTCGACGCCAAGCTTAACGGCGCTCTGGGCATGGCGAATGGTGGTGCACTTGTGGAGGACAATGATGCCGGCCTTCTTCAGCTGCTTGATGACAGGGCCGGGAGAGTTGCCTGCCGTCTCGACAATCTTGATACCCTCGTCAATGATGGCCTGGGCGTAGGCACCGTAGTCCGGAGGGACCATGGCGGGGAGGAGAGTGATGTTGACGGCGAAGGGCTTCTTGGTAAGGGTGCGGCACCGGCGGATTTCGTCGCGGAGGGCTGCGGGCGTAGGGAAGATGAGGGCCGTAATGATGCCTAGACCGCCGGCGTTGGAGACGGCCGAGGCGAGGTCTGCGGTACCAATGTGCATCATGCCGCCTTGGACGACGGGCACTGCGTAAAACGTTAGCACTTGGGGCGTCTTGTGGGTGACACGAGGCATGTGAGCGGCACTGCCATGATGGCCGTGGTGAATAGTTGCTCTCTGAAGCCCCAGAATTCAGAAGACACATACCGCGGATGCCCAGCCGCTTGGTCAACTCGGTAACAATAGGCATGGCCGCTTCGTTACTCGGCGTACGGGTTCGTAATGTTGCTCGATAGTGAGGATGGCACCGAGGCTCGTGACGACAACCAGATTGCTATCGCAGCAACTGTGGTGGTGTTTTCTTATGCCGGCAGACAAGCACGCTAGCTCGAGTGTTTATAATGGTGTATCAAGGACGAAAAAGGCCAAAAAATCTATATCTAAAGGAAAAAATAGACAGGAATCTCTCAGGTAAAATACAACAGCACTCTAGGGACAAAAGATCTGTGGTCTTGTTGCGTGACCGAATGACCACGGCAGTCCTGCTTCATTATTGGCCCGAGCCAGCTAAGCCGAGGTTGCGACAGGCACAACTCCACATTGGCTCCAGCCGACGCCGCATCCCCAGGTGGGCAAGTGCAGTGAGACATGGACACGGAAGGGGCACGCCGCACACGCCGCACAACCAGACGCCAGGACAGCCAAGCCCCACCCCTTGCCCAGGCACCCTTTTCTACCATTTCCATCGGCCATCTCACATGCTAGCGGATTTCGGACCATCTACCATTTGCGGAGGACCGTCCGCCTACTCCAGATCCCCAATAACCCAAGACCGTTCGCCAGGCAGGGCTTTTCAGTAAACCCCGAGCCTGGTTCACTGGCTCGCTCCCGGACTTGATGAGGAGATCGCATCCGTGATCCCGTCGGCAACCCCCCGCAAATTGCATCATGATACTACACATCGAATGGACCCCGGATCTCGTTTGCGAGCCACGACTGATGCTGGCAGTCGGCATACTGCCTCAGTTGTACTCGGATACGTTGGGCCATCTCGTACACTTTTCCTGCCATGCTACGGAGAATCCAGTCTCTAGTACTAGCAGGGACCATCGCTTTCGCACTCGGCTAGCTCGCAGATCTTATCGTCCAACATCGTAGATCCATGGTCAAAGTTTTCCTCACGACGAGAACCCATACCGCACCATGTGTTGTGTCAATTCTGCAAAGCTCGTCTCAAGAAAAGCATAACCGGACGTCACTCCAAGTGCCGCATTCGCTCCATGATATTTTCATGCCTCGGTCCGGTACTCCCGACATGCAAAGTCTGTCCTACAAACCATGATGGCGGGGGATCTGAGTTCAAATTAAACAAAGATAATGTCCTTCGGTTTAACCGTCCGGCAGACCCCGCATCAAGTTACGGCCAAGTAGTAATTCAAGGGTACTCACCGAGGCTAAACCCATGAGAGTGATGCTACTCCAACGCATTATGAGACTACCTTGACATTAAGCACCTTGGCCGCAATCAAGATCAGAGCCCACGAGATTTCCTGTTACTTTTCGAGAGAAGAAAATCCATCATTCAAACATCAGCTCAGGGCACAATATAGCGGACAATGGCCGTCGCCGTGCATTGCACCACATGCGCATATATGATATGTCACGATCACATTTAGTGACAATGTCCTAGATTTGCGTTATAAAAAGGCAGAGACTTGATTTCAACAGCTATATCCCGAGTTCCCGCAGTGCCATCCACCGCTACATGTACCCAACGGCTAAGAGCTGGACGTCATGGTCTGATTTATTAAAGGTCCAAGGACGCGAGGAAAACTCAATCACGGCCAGAAAACCACGGAACAGAGCCAAATTTTATCAAATAACCTGGACCCTTCAGCTGCGATATGCCCAACTCCCTTGCTTCATGCCCCGAGCCGAAGACAAGCATCATCTTCCTATTTCATTACTCTACTCCAGTTTTCAGTTTCGTATCATTCATCCAGTAAAAGCGGCCCAGTGCTAATATCCATGGAGAATTCTCGTGCCATTGTGGTTATCTTGGCGCGCTAATACGGCTCATCGACTGCCTTGGAATCGGAAACTGCCCATGAATCCCGGAGATATACAGTCGAGCTAGCTCGTCGCACTTGATGAACAACTAATGTATCAAACCTGCCATCTCGTGTGCCAGACATACGACTGACATTGCATGGAGAGAATACTATACTTCTATGGCTCCGCCATAGGCCCACGCGCGCAAGACACAATGAATCCCCTGCAATGCTTCGACTCGTACACCTTCTTTCCTCCGCCTCATAACTCGTCAAGTCAAAAATATCATGAATGATCCTTAAGTTATGCCAGCTTCAGGCGCCATCCTAGTCATAGAGGGGTTACGTTCTCGCGGTTTGTCCACAAGATCAGCATAACCATCTAGGCTTGCGCCCATTACTTTAACCATGTCAAATATATGCACTCCTTTGAAAGTTTCTGCCCATAATCGAACGACAGCACTTGCAAGTTGCCTCAATTTTGCACCGTCGCTAGCCACCATTTCCATCGGCCCAGAAATCGAACTCGGCCCAGCAAGTGAAGGATCGATGGGAACTGCGAATTCCGTTTCATCTAACATTCGTCGAATGTACTCTAAGAGATTCCTCTCTTCCAGTGATGGTGCTGGGTCCGATGGTGTTATTGCAGATAGCGTGACAAGCCATTTGGCTAGTAAAATCGCACATTCGAAGTTGCAGACTAGTATTGGTCAGTTAATACGAGCGCTGAAGATAGCTGTAGCTGGCAAGATACGAACGTGAATGTTGTATGCTCCACTCAGCAGACTTTGCTCTTGCAACGTAATTGACGCCAGCCTTGACAAGCATAGACAGGACATGAACGGCCTCAAACACGGCTCGGTTTGGTCTTGAGCTGCGATGTAACAAGGGCGTACTGTCCAGTGCCGATGCAATCATCAACGAGTCTCTTGTTTCAAGAGCACGGCTCGGAGGGACGTCCGTATGTAAGCGAATATACGCCAGCCGTAGAAGAGCGGTGGAGTTGAATGCAAGCGATCCCCCCGAGCTCGGGTCAGTGTTCATTGAATGTCCAGACTCTGCAGCCCGAAGTTGGTGACGATGTCCGAAGCTAGTCTGCCACACTCGCAGTGCCTGCGATACCTCCTCAACATCCTCTGGTTTCAATGTTCGTTGAACATCATATGACGAGCCAGCGGCAAACGATGTCTGTTTCAAAAGATATATGTGCTGAACTAAAGCATGGATTAATATATAATGACCAAGAGACGAGAGATGGTTTGGCAGGCCTTGGGTAGTGCGACCGAATAATCGTGAGAAGGCCCCGTGTACCGTGATATCGGCCATAGGAGTAGTCTGCCGCAGTTCTTGCCATTGCCAAGCAGATTCCGCTCTCCAAAGTCTTGATCGTGCTGGCATGTACAAATTAAGCTCGGCGGTAAGAAGTAGTGGCGGTATATCATATGCTGTGCTACAGAGGTTAAAGAAACAGAAGGCGATTAGTTTTGTTCGATTGGCCCCTTCTAGTCGTATCCACGTGTCCCATTCATTGAGAGACGACGGCCTGGTCTCTACGTTCAGACGTTCCTCGCGGATAAGAAATGCCAAATTGCTCTGCAAAGACAAAGCTTCTTGAAGAATTGTTTTGGCCCCCCACAGGCCAACGGCAAACAGAAGAAGGACTGCCTGGATGGTTTCGAGCCTAGCTCCTGGCGTATTGGGAGAGCTGGGTAATAGTTTAGCTGAAATTCCGAACCAGTGAAAAGCCGTGACTTCTAGTGCATGTTGTGAGAACTTACTATGGCTCGCGATGGGTATCATGTGTAACGGTTCGTTCGGATTGGGCCGATGCAAAAGAGTGCCTATAGCTTATGCTAGGGGACGGTCGTGTTGAGTGAGGGCTGTAGGATGCGGCTGTTGGCAGCAAGGCATGTACTTCGGAGCTGTGCCTCCTCCTAATTTGTTCCATTGCAACGGTTTTAGCCGCATACCATAACGCATAACCTCTATTGTTCTCGAATCTGTACTGGGCACCAACTGCCAGTATTGCCAGAAGCAACTCCGGAGCCATGTCGACAAGAGCCAGAGTGGGTAAATGCAGAAATGGTAAGTGGTCGTGAAATCCGCCGATGTAGCCCTCGAAAAATCGTGACAGTGTGTGACGGGACGGAAAGATGAAATCATTTGGCAAAACAGCCGAAAACTCATCGAGATGACTCTTCATTATATTATAATCTGCGACCGAAATTCGGAGTAAGTTTGTTCGTAACGTGTCTTCATGCAACCGCTGCCCTGTATCAATCGGCTCTCGGATATCAGGGGCTAGAGAACCGAAGCGAGAAGGGAACTGTGATGAAGGCCGAGAGTTGCCTCTCGGATTCACTTGTCCGGGTGCTCTTGCCCACATACTAAACTGTTGATCGGACTCAAAATGCGGGGGCAAAAGACACGCAGAGCCAGCGATGTCATCCAAGAAAAGGTTGTAATCGTCGTAAACGGGTTGCGGAGGCTGGGTTACAAAGCCTGACGACAACATAGGTTCGGATTCTTCGTGACGAGGACGCTCAGAATAACCTCCCATGGGTTCATCGAAACTTTTGACTCTGGCATGATGAATAGTCCCCTGCTGCGACATGTCATTTAGCATCGGTGATATCGTATTAACCTCTGTTGCCAAAGCAGCATCCGAGAGAACGTCAAGATTACAGGCGACAGATCGTGGAGTAGCAGCATGGGGATCTTGTGTGAGGTGGTGGTGGCCAGATCCAACTCCTGGGTTGACAGCCGTGTGATGATATGCCGCCTGATGCTGTGACGGCTCTTGATGTTGAAGTGACCCATGTTCATTTATGGAAGCTGCGTGCAATCCTATAGGTTCTGCGTCGATATGGTTGTCCGAGATTGATGCTTTATGGGAGGTTGTGCTAGAAGAGGCCCTTCTTTGCGGCTTGCTATCTTTGTTTCCATCATTAAGGTGAACGAGTTTCTCGTGCCTAACGAGAAGATCACTGATGTCCATATAAGTATACTTCTTTCCGAATTATGTGCGGGATAGGGTACAAGACAAGTCAAGTTGGTGAAAGGTGAATACAAGGTAGTGATAATGCATATATATGTGGGTATATAGAATGGGTGTACGTAACAGAGAAAGCTAGAGCAGGAACTTGTGGAGTAGGAGTTGGAACAGCTCACGTATACTACTACAAGACACCGCTTGTGCTCTTGTGTGCTTGGTTGTTTGGTGTTGGCGCAGGTGCCGGTGAGGGGGGAAGAGGTATCAACTACTGGTGCATGTCTGACGGGCGTGACCATGACGCTCGAGGTGTGCAGGTGGCTCATGACTTACCGTCGTCCAAACGTTTTCCCACAGCGGTCCCAGGTGCAACCAAATGGCTTCTCTTTCGTATGAGTTCTTTCGTGCCGTTGAACGTGTTCAACTCGTCTGTCATGGTTCATCCCGTTGACGTTAGCATAACTTTCTCTGGAGAAGTATGGAGACGAATTGATTACAGACCTAAATTTTTTGCTACAGTATTTGCACGGTAACGTTTTGGGCTTCTGGCCACGGTTTTCTGCTGGTTCATCCAAGGCAAGGCCAGCTCCCTGCACATGAGGAATACCCTCGAGACTGTGGTGTATAGGGAGCATAACGCCTAGGAAATACACGAGTATGACCAATGCCTTTGACTTTGCATTACTCCCTCCGCAAAGGAGGGTGAATATTACACACTCGGAATTTTTGGAGATGTTGGAGGAAAGAAAGGAGCCTCTGTGGGGTGCCACTGAAGCACAGGACTCAGGAGCCTTGCCAAGTACGTAGTGGACTCGCGTTGTCGGAATGTAAAGATACTCTGGGTTGTTTCCGCCTTCCCCGTCGTGATTCCTCGTGATTCCTCGTGATATTCTGTGCTGATGATGATAGGTGAGGAGATCCTTTCCTGAAGCCGAGGGTAGGGAGGGTGTGAAGAGCAACTCGCTAGGTTGCGGAAGGCAATAGCCAATTCATTGGATGACGAGAAGGGCTGGGGAACCAAGCAGGGATTATGACACGAAAAGGCGGAGAGGGAGCTCTAGCCTAGTCAAGACTGTTTGACTCAGCTGAATGGTCGCGTTCTGAAGAAAAAGGACTCGTACAGCTTGGAAATAGATCTGTCAGGATGGGGAAGAATTTGGAGAGAGTGGAGGGGGGACAGCGCGGTCCTGCGTCAGGGCGATGAACAAAGCGGTTACGGAGATGGCACTGCCGACATTCGATGCCAAACAGGTTCGCAAAATCAGAGTATTGGCCAAGGGCCCAGTTGATCGATCAGCATGGGGAAATCAGGGAACACTTCAGGAATTTCCGGAGGCCGAGACGGCAGGAAATGCCTGTCCTTGACTTAGTTTGATGTTGGAGCAAAGCCACCAAAAAATGCGGTGCAAATACCCATGCTCGTGCCCTTGCCCATGCGACCATGCGTATGCCTACACTCAAATGCCAAATGCCATGTGCCAGCCTGGGGGTGGCAAAGCTTGCTTCCAGATTGGGTATAAAGAACCATCCACGACATGAGGCAAGCGAGACGATGTTCTCGGAAGGTCGTAGGAAACGCGTTTCAACTGTCGCTGTTTCTTGGATGCGGAGAGCCGGGGCCTAGGCATCTTTGCTGCAGGCTGCAGCCGCCTTGTCTCCAAACACGAACAATATCCAAGCTTCATGTGGGGGCACAATCGGGTATTCCCCCCATGGGGCTAAACCTGGGGTCAACTCCGCATTGGAGAAGGTGGGTAGGGTTGTTGGACCTATTAAGCCACGGCGTGCGTTCTGGGACCAGGACAGCGATGCAGGCATGCCTCACTTGGCAACTCGCAACGATGCCATCCACTTGTGCTGACCGCACTGACGGAGCACATCATAGCCGCAGCCAAACGGGTCTCGGGAGACAATGGCACACCGGTGACCGACCTCTGCAGAACTGCTCCAATACCGGCGAGCCGGTCACAGAGCCGGGCTTGCATAGCCCGCTCGTCTTTGCATCCTCCATTAGCGCCGTCGGAAAGCTAAATGTGCGTCCGTACTGATGATTCCCCATGTAGTGGCGCTAGTGTTGCGTGGTGCTCTGGATGGAGGCTCTCGGGAGCCTTCCAAAAACCGACAATGATTTAGCGCATAGGAACAATGGAGAAAAGCTGGGCGTTGATGAGGAACCATGTTCTATTACTGAGGCTCTCTGGTGCCCCGGCCTTGCGACGAAACCGCTACTATTCCAATTTCCGACACCCCGACTCTACTGAGGTGTGTCGATCGCAGTACTACTTTGCCAGGTTAGCCTTTTCTGCAAGGTTTTATTATTAGATGGCCTGTGGAAGGGCTGGTGCAACGCTCCCCTCCTCTGAAAACGAGCTATAGCGACGGGGTAGACAACCATTGTAAGCCCGTTGATAAGGGGCGAATTGAGACTGGCGGTTCGGGCTCACAATGCAGGAGGTCGTGTGCTGTCCTCGCCCACTGCGCTGTTCTTCTTTCCTCTAAAGACATCTCTAACGGCGCCCTAAAGGCAGTTGATGTTGATCAAGTCTTGGCCCTGGTCACAAACACATGACGCCGCTCTGATATTACTGTGTCATCGCGGCTACTGTAGATAGAGCAGGGGGGGCTTATGTCGGTCGGGCCGTTAATGTTCAAACAGTTAGCTGTGCCAAGATGTGATATTGTAAACAGTTAGCTGGTACATTCTGAATCTGCGGGCATATTCTGCAACATTACTCACAGTCTCACACACTGCAGATTGCGTCGACCTCGTTGTCATAGCGTGGGGGGCCAGCTGCCCAAACCTGGCCTCTGAGCTGGCTGAACCAAGATTCTCTTCTGAGTGGCAACCATGAAGGTTCATTCGGTTCCAATCACGTCATCCCACAGCCTCATGTTTGGAGCATGTCGCAGTTTAGATCATTTCCAACGTCAGCCGGGTGTCCTCGACGCTCGTTTGGTTTTTGTCGCAGCTGTTGTAAGAAGGAAACGCGGGGTTTCTGCGGCTAGGCATTGGCGGCAGACCAGCATGCGCGTGGCCGTCGTTGTAAGTTCAACTTGTAACGCTCCGACGATTTCAATTTGCTGCGTGTCCCAATAGTCTCAAAGCGGACGCTGTCAGATGGGAATCAACAGGCTTAGCGGGCGTGCAGGCCCCGTAGCCCCCAGCTAGCACCTCGCAGCTGCAACAACCAGCCGACACGAGGAGCCTCAGATCCGACGTGGGTATTTCTCACATCGGTCGGTCATGAGGCGTCATCTCAGAATCGATCATTTTCAGCGCCGTATAGTAAAGGATTCGACATGGTTTACGTTTACGAACTTCCCAAGACGAGACAGGAAAACACATGGTGTGGTATCGGTCGAGTCATGTGAAGCTGGCAATCGCTCCTTCCCCCATAGTGTTGTAAACCTGCATGTTGTGTCAGTTTGACTCTACCTAGCTTCGCGCGCCGAGGGGTTTCTTGGTGACACTTGCCACATACATCATCCATCACAAGACAGCTTATCAGAATTTACTTCAATTTATTGGACTTTGAACCTGCCTATAACAATTGAAAGCCTTTCTTGTCATAGCTACCTCTAGGTAGGTAGGTAGTAGTATGCTCCGACTACAATCAGAGGCCACGCACCAAGGTACCTACCGACCTGGTTTTTAAGAATCCGTTAAAAGCCACGATACACTCCTGCTCTAGAATCTTACCTACAATCATACAGCTAGCAAATTCAAGTTGATTTCAAATGACCGTGCCTCAGACTGCCACGTCCGCAAGTCCATATGTCCACAGAATACAATTGTATACCTTCCCAATGCGAGAGGGGAGATACAATATGCGATGCATGGCTCGAGACCAGCATGGTCCCCATGCATGGGAAACAGCGCAGAGAAGACGAAATGCGACCCCAAAGCCAACACACGACCCCTCGCATAGCATTCTGGCTAAACAAGCTAATAATAACTACCATGCGGCGCAAGAGCCAATTCCCCCCTGACGACTAAAACCTGGTACACGAGTGTACAGGAGGAACAGAAACGTTGGCGTGCTTGCAACCAAGACTTCTTCGAATCTATTCTCGATATGGATGAACTGGCTAGGCCGGGCAACTTTTTCGAATCCAATATGATATTAATATTTTTACCAACGTGCTTTTCGTTGGTGAGCTAATGAACGTCTCGCGTAGAGTAAGTTTTACCGCCAGGTGCATAGTTTGCCGTCCCCGACGCCCAGGATTTCAAGGTCCTCTTCCGTCAGTCCATCTAGATGCGGTTTTCATACGTATTTGCCTAACCCACGCTGCGCATGTCTCATGATTATTTAGCGTCCGATAAACATGGCCTGTCACCATCAACAAAACCTGGCCTTTTCAAAGCGTAGGTGCTAGAAGGTGAAAACCAATATACATACGTCATTGATGAACATTCCCCCGTCCATTACCCAATATTAAAGATTGAATTGTTTCGGTCATTAGTCAAGTGAAATTACAAGCATGATACGAGTATCGTGCAAGCCCATTACCCAATATACACCAAAGCTTACGGTACTGTGGGAATGTTGCACAAAAATGCGCACCTATCAGGTCGGTACATTTCGGTAAGTATGTGTTCTATTTTGGCAAAAATGGGTGGTGGCCCTTTTGCAATCAATCTCGCCATGACCGACTTAAACCGCTAGCTCTCACACCAGTACCAATATCACGTTAAAGAGAGATGCTGCCATGGCACGGATACCGATCAGGGGAAAGGACATTATTCTGTCGAATTAAAACACATATTGTTGGACTATGCTATAAAATGTAAGCATACACAAGCCCAGTCATCCAATGCTACTCCTTAGGTATCCTCTGTTTGTCCCGCGAGAGCCTAGTAGCCACGCAAGGTTACGGCTGTACGGCTGGCAACATGGACTACTCGAAACGCTTGAAGCTCTTGGTGTACAATAAATATATGAACCATGTAGCCGGAAACTAAGAATTATGACACCCCCGTATGTGAGGGTTCTAAATACAGA